TTGAAGTCCACAAGTCTTAAAGTTGCCGAGGTTGGACACCCCTGGTGTAGCGTTTAAGGTTAGAAACGAGATTGTGTTCTAGTCCCTCCCTCATTAGGCATGAAAGCTGGCTGGATAACTATGGACCAGTCATTCTCTCTCAGACCAACCTCACAGGATTGTTTTTGTGGAGAAAATAGGAGGAAGAAGAACATTGGCTTTATTTTCCAACTTGAAATATTGATAAAAATAATAAAGGAGGGAAATAAATAAAGATAAATCCTCACAAGACAGAATTGTATTAATGGGCTGTTTCTCTGTCTGTTTTAGGACGTGTTCGTTTTTCTAGATGATTAAGAATGGCTTAACACCGTCCAAAAAGGTTGTTTGCAAAAAAGCCACCCAAGGGGATATACTTAATACATTGCATTACGTTCAAAATATAGGCATGTTTTAAACAGCTGGAAAAGGGGCCCTCTCTGAGCTGGATTGTTTCCTTGCAGATGTTTCATTACCCAAACTAGGTAACATCATTGGTGCAGGAAATGTCTGCCGAAAACAACCAAGCTCAGAGAGCACCAAGGTCCCCTCCTTTGAACCCTGAGGTACAATATTCTCCTTTATGGGTAAAATATAGATTTAAATATTATTAGGAATCTTTTATGTGAGGCATTTTTAAAATTATAACAAAGAGTGAGGGAGAAACCCCTCACGAATACATACAAGTCTGCAATCCTTGACACATTGTCTTGCCTAAGGATAAGTACTGCGTGCTTCTTTTTAAATTACCCAGTGGTGGGATGGATTTATGTATCACAAAATCATTTTATTTCTGACCATCTCGCTGGTATTTTCATTTTGAGATTACCAGTTCCCTTGATTCCAGTTTTAATCATTAATGTTGAAGCTGAAATCTATTTCAATTAAACAGTAAATGCAGGAACTTTGAGCACATTTTGATCTTGTAAGAAACAATATTTCTTGCTAAACTCCTTTTCCAGAAGTGTCCTATTTTCCTTAATGTCTTCTTACCTTTTGTGAACTTCCAAGATGCAACATCCGAGCCGGTTCCCTTAGACTCTGACTTTTCTCAACAGTGCAAGATACAAGCCTTCAGCAGCAACCTTGTCAGGTCAATCATCCAGAGCCTCACTATCCAAGTTATCAAGACAGTTGTCAGATCTCCTCATTCCCCGAAGCAGCTTTGCCAACTTCTCACCCCAAAATTGGTAAGTCTTCTTTTGTCTCTAAAATAATCCCCACATTGTTAAGTTATATAACTTCAGGACTTTACTGCATGGGAGTAAATACACGCATATTTCGGGAAAATAGTAAATCACCTGGGTGGTGTAGGTGTGCTAGGGTGCTACTGAGGTCCTCTGCTGATGTCCTCATGTAGGAGGAAAAGAGTGGGAATTATAGATGGAGGGATGAAAATAACCTTGGTTGTGAATGCAGCACTGTCAAGGATCCAATCCAAGTGCTATGTTATGCTAGAGCTGTTGTTCTACACAGGCCAGATGGTTGCGGATTTGGAGATGGGAACCATTATAACCTGATAGTGGTTGTGTTAAGGCCGCTGCCAGCTCAGGTACAGTTTTCATAGCTTTCAGTTTCCTCAGGATGGGGACTATTGATTTGACCTGTTCTGAAAAGTTAATGGAGCTCTCTTGACTGACCAAGAACACTGATTCTCTGGGAATATCTAGGTCATAGCTCCAAACCCTCCCAGCCCTTCCCCCACAATCTGATTCCTTGGTTTAGAGATGAATTGCTGGCTTAGGAGGAGGTGGAAAACTTCACACAGAGATGCCATGAAACTGTTAGTTATACCATATTGTATTTTTATACAGTATGGTATAACAAATAGTTCCTACATGAATACAGTGAGATTTTAGAAAGATTTTGACAAGATAAGGGTGCAAGAGTGATGGAATAATTAGAGGGCTACTTCACCCCTACATCTATGTCCCTTTGGCCCCCCACCTTCCATGGCCTCTGCTGCCCTAACTGATATTCACCATCTTTTTGCTCTTGATTCTAACCCAGCCTGACCCTGCATGAGGATTTCTCTCCAGTGTTCTGCAGAGCAGTGACTGCCTCTCAGTCTGTCCCATCTGCCTCTCAGGTGCCAGGTATTGTGGATCCCTCTGCAATCTTGGATTCCACCTCAGTCCTGGATCCCACTACCACCACCACTTATGAGAAGTAGTGAAAGAAAGAAACATTCTACATAGATTTAGTAGCTCCCACAAATTTTGACTTGGTGGAAAACTAGAAGAACTGGATTTGCAAAGATTGAAAAAAACACACAACTGAATACGTGGGGTGTGTATTGCTGCCCTCCCTTAAGGAGGTGGATTTCATTAGTACATTGTGAGAGGCCAGACTTCCTGAAAGTTGGCTAGCATCTAGGCTGATGGTGCCCTGCCTCTTTAAGACCTCTCCCTGGCCAACCCAGCTCCTCAGCAACCAGCAGGTAGAAAAGCTGAGAGAACAGCAGCGGTGTGTATGTTGTTGTGGCAGAGTTGTTGGTGTGTTGAAGTTGTTCTGGGAGTGAGAGGGAGGTGTGTTTTTTTGTTATTGGTGGAAATAGAACTACTGGAAGCAGCCAAGGGCCAGGAGACACTAAAACTTTTCTTTAGCACTAGGGCTCAGAAAGTATCGTGGTCTAGAATGAATAGTAGGACTAGGAGAAGACCTGGGGAAGTGTGTGAAAAACAATTGTTGAATGCTACCCATTGTGTGCTTGTGCGTGGGATGCCTAAAGTCTAAAGGGACTTGTGCTGGTCCTCTGGAGTTTTGGGAGCCTATTGACTTTGGATATAGCTAAAAGAATCTGTGGCATCCATAAAGCTGGTTGGTTATTTTAAACCAGGGGTCCCCAAACTTGGCAACTTTTAAGACTTGAGGACTTCAACTCAAGTTTGGAGACTTCCATGTTAAACTGTTGATAGGGTCCACTGCAATTGTTACAGTCTGCTTGGCACTATGGCTTGCTTCAGTTCTAAGATGTATTAAAAGCATATACGTCCTGCTTCCGGATCCCTGGGCTAGTAAAAAAAAAAAAAAAGCTACTGCATAAAAGAGAAACCGTTGAAAATCTCAAATATTCAAATGTTCTTGTAATGGCGATTTGTAATGCAACCAGAAATTACCAGTACTTTACTGTGATGAAACACTCAGTGGCAGCATCTTAAATTATTGATTTCTGAACCGAATGGAACTAAGAGTCTTAATCTGCTGCCAGGCTCTGTACCACAACCAAATTGCTTGGCTGTGGATGACAACTAGGCAAAGGCAAAAGAGGATGGATCTGGACAATTTTGAAGCAGAGTTACTGGTGGATCAACCTCATTCTCTGGGTTTTTGGTTTTTTTAGTGTTGACCTCACTCCCTGCCCTGGCGGTGCCACCTGCTACCCCCACTAAGACAATGTCCTCTTCTGTGATGAATGGACTTGAAATGACAGAACAACGGAACTGGCTTTACCTAGAGGAGACTGTCAATTCTCTGCTTAACACAGCTCGGCAGCTGAAGACGCTGATCGAACAAGCTAAGCAGGCCAGCTCTTCCTACAGAGAAGCTGCTGTTTCCCAAGCAAAACTTCAAGCTGATGCAGAAAGGAAAGAGGTAATAAATAGGGTTTCAAGAAAAGAATCCATCTTAGCCCCAAATGTCTTATAGCCATCTTTTAAAACTACCTATGCTGCTTTTGACACTGTTGAAAGAGAAAAACTCCCACCCCCGGTGCATGGCACAGTGACGATATGGATGTAGTCATTACTATAGTCTCTCTTGGTGAATTTCAGAGTGGCAACCATATAGTGATTTTGGCTTTTGGTAGCATCCTTTCTGATCTGCAGTATACATTCTAAAACAATGTGTTGGATTTCTTCTATTGCATTCAGAGCAACATAACCCAAATAATTAGAACTCCTAGGATTTATGTTCAAACAGAAATATTTTCAGATCTGAGACAGCTTAAAGGAAACTCTTCTAAAATGCATAATAGATACATAAAAAGTACTATTTACTTAATTATTTAAAGTATTTATAGCAGTAGCACTTAGACTTATATACCACTTCACAATGCTTTTACAGCCGTCTCTAAGCCATTTACAGAGTCAGCATATTGCCCTCAACAATTTGGGTCCTCATTTTACCCACCTCGGAACGATGGAAGGCTGAGTCAACCTTGAGCCTGGTGAGATTTGAACTGCCAAATATAAGGCAGCTGGTAGTCAGCAGAAGTAGCCTGCAGTACTGCACTCTAACCACTGCGCCTCCCTTGTGCAATTTATATACCATTTGCCAATTAAACATCACCAAAATAGTTTATAGTGACATATACTGTAAATAAGCTTCTACATAAAAGAGTCAAATAAAATTAATAAGGTAGATAATAACATCAATCAAACAACAATCAATCAAACAACAGTCCAAGCAGTAGTAAGGAAGTTGAAATATCACAGTAGTGTATAAAGTAACACATTGCTAAACATTCTGCAAGAATAAAAATGTTTCTCTGTCATTCAGAAGACAGTGGAAAATCTTTCAGGCCTACCACACTATTGAGGGTCTATTTACACCATTGGAGAATATCCAGAGTAAGCCTTCCAAAGATTATTTTAGGGTACTGAGAGGAATTTACAGGAGGAGAATCTCTTTATATGCCATGATCCTAAATACTGGAAGACTTTATACATTAATACCCAATAGCACTTAGACTTGTTTACTGCTCCATAGTGCTATACACTGCAGGGGTCTCCAACCTTAGCAACTTTAAGTCTGGAGGACTTCAACTCCCAGAATTCCCCAGCCAGCAAAGCTGGCTGGGGGATTCTGGGAGTTGAAGTCCTCCAGGCTTAAAGTTGTCAAGGTTGGAGACCCCTGCTATACAGCACTCTCTGAGTAGTTTTCAGTGTCAGCATATGACACCCAACCATCTGGATCCTCATTTTCCCGACCTTGGAAAGTTGGAAGGTTGAGGCAACCTTGAGCCCCATCAGGATTGAACTCCTGGTTGTGGACAGAGTCAGCTTGCAATGCTGCATTCTAAGCATTGCACCACCAGGGCTCTCCCCATAGTATTAGGATTGCAACCAAATTAGAAATTATCTGTAGTTTTCTATCGAAAGTATTAAATCATGTCTATTTCATTTATAGTAGCAAGTTATGAATTCTATAGGCTGGGCAGTGTCGGATCTAGACTCGAGACAGGAGGGGAAGTAGAGAAGGAAAGGCCTTTGCTACAAACACGGATTATATCTGTAACTTGGGTCAAAACTAGATTCTCCAAATGATGAGTTCAAGGAGCAATGAAGTGGCAAAGTCGAGGAGCATCCAGAATTCAGTTGCTCAGTTAAGAATTCACAGTGTGGTGAGGCAAGGCACAAGTTCAGTTACAAGCAGTGCTGGGAATGAAAGTGAGCCTGCTTATATAGCCACCAAGCCGGGCATCGCCCAAACCCCCCCCCCCCCCGCAGTGCTTTTAGATGAATCACCTGAGGAGCCCTGTGTCCACCCACTCTTGTCCTCAAGTGCTTTCTCTGCATTAATTCCTGGAGCCTTCTTTGTTTGGGCTTTCTAGGACCTAGGAGGGAGGAGGCATGGATTTCAACAACTGTACTTCACCTGCTGCCTAGGAAAGATGCTCACTTTACTTCCTTTCTGACTGAGGCCAGATGATTCTGGGTTCTCCCTTGGCTAGGCATTATTTCCTCTTCCAAGGCAGTCCTTAAGAACATATTTGTCACTTGATCACCATGTATGTTGGCTTAAGCTCACTGCTTTACAGCTGTTAAGTTGCTTCAATAGGTCGCTCTTTTATTTAGATGTTTGAGTAAGATTTAATTCTTACTCAAACATCTAAAGATGTAAGGACTTTCTTTCATAGTGTTTGAGATTGGAGGCAGCTGGGAATATCTTTACATTGGTTTCTAGCCATTTAATAAAAGTTAAGAACTATTCCTCAGAAAGAAAGAAACATTGAATGTTAGATATGCTATGGTCAGAACTAAATCTGGGTGCTGAACATTTCTTATTTTCTATAATATCAATTTGCTTTTAGTGCAGAGAGCTTTGTAAGAAGGTACCAATAGTTTCAATGAACTATCCTTTGCTGGGACATGTCAGTTGGCTTTTATTGCTAATTATACCTGCCATTTTACGTCTGCATTCTTGGATTTGTGCCTATTACTTATTTTAAAAATATATATCACCACCTATTGTTAAAGAGAGTATGGTATGTAGTGATTTCAACAAATGTTGAATTGGTTGAATTGGTTAATGTGTAAGCATTGCAGCTGCTTAGATTTGTTAAATATTGGGGGAAATTGTACAGTGTTTAAATCCATACAGCAGAACGGTGTACATGTGGACGTTGTGGGTCTCCCACTCCCTGAGGCATTTAAGTAGAGATTAGACAGCTATCTTTCACGGATGCTGAAAGTTGGACTAAATGATCCTTGTGGCCTCTTCCAGCTGTTCTCTATTTCTATGAAAATGTGAGAGGGAACGGTTTGAGCGCAGAAAAAATGATCACATGGAAATTTTTTAAAGAATTTTTTTGCTATTAGAATGCAAATCTGTTCAATATAATGACAGTCTCCAAATAGGCCCCCAAAATAGTTGAGCTAGCTTGCAGATAACAAACCAAAAGAAACAACAGAATTTCTTGTCAGTATAGAGATGTGGGGACCTAAATGGCAGCAGACATGAAGTGTTGGGCAAGGAAGGAGGTTACTAACATCTACAAACTTTATCTTCTCTTTGCAAAGCCTTCTTCTTCTGGACTAGCAAAGCTACAGGTGTGCAATTTCCAGCTGTGGGTTTTTGTTTCTTTGTTTCTAAGCACGATATCAAAAGACATTTGTGAAGTAATTGAAATATATGTAGCTCTTTCTTTTATCTCAAACATTTCTTTCCTATGTAAAAGATAAGTGATAGTGTATAATTTAGTACACAGAATATATAGTTTGATGTATCTTTAGTCCTTAATATTACTTAAATAAAATAAGTCCTCACTCATATTTATGATACAAGCACTCCACACAGCCATATTTCCAATAGAAAACTCTTTTTTGTAACGATACCTCCAAGAGCAGCATGAGGCACTTGTAAAAAGAAATTTATGTTGTTTTTCAATTTTTGCAGTATCAGAGTCAGTTATTTCAGCATACAGAAGATGTTGATGGAAAAACCGAAATTATTATTAAGGTAAGCCCAAAGATTAAATCTGAATGGTATCTAAGGACTATCAAGCTATTTCCATGTTCTTTTTTTTTTTTTTTGATACTGAATGGTGGCTTCTCAGTGGCAGCAGACTAATGGTGTGAGATTGAGCATGTTAATGCTGATGTGGCTAAGCTGGCCTGGTTCCTGAGACAGCAACTTATCTCCCACAAAGGGTTGGCATCCATCTTGTCGCTTTCCTTTAGCTCCCAAGTCTTGAAGAAGCCAGTGTACCATCCATTATTGTGGTGCGCTGATAGCTGGTAGATGGGAATGTATGGCTTGGTGGTTTTTTTACAGTCTATTTTGAACTGGTAGAAGGTGATCTTTTACCAACTGGTGCTTTGGGGCCTTTCCCTGGGGGAGAACCTGGGGGTGGCCTGTGCCCTGAATTGCCTTTATGAATAGCGGAAGGTGATACCCCAACACTTTGGTGGGAGCAGACTGCAGTTGGTACAAAATGGAGCAGTACAGACTATTATGAGTGCCTTTCAACCTACACATTTTACTTCTTTGCTCCATGAACTGCATTGGTTGCCAGTGTGCTTTTGACTTTACTATATTGTGCTGGTGGTTATCTATAAAGCTCTCCACAGCATGGGGCCAAGCTTATTTGCAGGACTACCTCCCCCCAGTTATGTTTGCCTATCCAAATGGGTGAGCAACCATGTTTAAATAATCTTCCTTGAAATTTGGCTACCATGCTCCCCCAAGTGCTTTTATTTATATTTTTTGGCAGTAGCCGCATAGAGGGGGGAAAAAACCCAGAACATTTTTTTTTTCAAAGAGTCAGTCTAAATTCCTCTGAGGAAGAGTTAATCTGATCTCAGGTCTCCCGCTTCACAGCTATTCCCTTTCTACTAGTCCTTTTTTCTTTCTCTATTTACCGAGCTCTTTATGAATGCCATGACAAGTTTTCATTGGATTGCATCCCTGAGGCTTGGCTTTGCATACAGTCACTGAAATGAGGGAAATCTCTGACACCGTCCTTCAGTTTGCAGAGAATTTATTGGCAGAAGGTGCAAACAGATTAGTATTGATCATTGTGAATCAGTTGAGTCTGAAACCAAGTATATATCTCTCTGCATTGCATATTTCTCTAATGCTTTGCAGCAGGGCAATTTATTCACAATTCCTTCTTGTACTCACCTTGTACAGAGACACCAATCATGCCTAAGCAATTATATGAGTTGCAAGCTAATTGAGCTGTAAATCCATCTTCCTCCTCTTGTTTTGAATGAGCTGTTTGAACAGACAGGTTAGAAATACAAAACAAAATGATATTTTTCCAAATTCCCAAGGTTTCCTATCATGATAAAACCCCAAATATAAGAGATTGATGGTATTAATCATGTAAACTTAAAAAAAGTTCTGGCTTATCTTGAGGCCAGTTCCTTAATCTCGTGCTGTTCTATATTTCATTCTCTATTCATCATTCCGCATTCTGTTATTAACAATTCAGAATCATTAGACTTTGATACATCTTTCCTGTTAGAATGTTTTAATCATACAGCTACTGAGAAATGCCAAATTGCCTACACTTTTGAAGGCTTTTGTTCCTGCCCCAGCGTGAGACAAAAAGTAATAATACGGTACTCATATTCAGTTGCACCCTCATATTTTTTTTCCTGCTTGCATGCTTATTGTAAAAAAATATGACCTTTTTACATTTTCTCCTGTCCATTTGGATAAGGATGGCCTTTTTATGGTCTAGTGGTAACAACTTTGCATTGTGCAATCTCAATTCTTGGGATTTCCAGGGAAGAAAAGGCAAATTGAAGATGGCTTTGCTAAAAAGTAGATGGTATTTTAAGGATTTATTTATAGAGAAGAAATGGGATATGGGAAGAAGAGGTTATTTGTTGTATTTTAAGCAAAGATGATGTTAGTAAAATTGTTTATACTTGTTGTGAGGAAGGGGGAAGTAATTTCATTATATATTTATTTTCTTTTTCTCTTAGTATATACTTATTTTTTTCTATTTTTCTGTTCTGTACTTTCAATGTTTCTTTTTCTTTAATTTTTTAGTTTTGTATTTATCATTGTAATTGCAATTTTTAATAAAATTACAATTTTAAAAAATCTTCTTTTTACAACATAGATTAGTGGCACTCAAAAGTTCCTAGTAATTGCAAATGCATGTGTGTATGGGATCATATATGCATGAATGGCTGGTAACATAGTATTTTTGCTTTTCAGAGCTTTTTTGTCCACTGCAAGTTGTCCTATTTTCTCAGTTTGCTGCAGCCATTACAGTCAGAGACAAATAGATACTTTCCAGAGTCTGATAAAGACATGAAATTTTCTACTTCATATTATCAGTATAAATTTGGTCTATCTTTGATTCTAGAAAAAAGTTAGAGAAGTTGTTTTCATTGTGAAGAGTGCCCAGTTTCTGTATTAAGAGAATTGTACCAGTACATGGGCGGCAGAAATTATATATAACTTCTTTTTTTATACATCATGTGCAACCTCCTTTTACTTCCGTTTAACATGTATTCTTTGCCTGCAATCTCACAGCAATCCTGTGTAAACTGTGGCCGGGAGGCAATGAATGAATGCACCGGTTGCCATAAAGTCAATTACTGCTCAACGTTCTGTCAACGGAAGGTATCACACCCCTTATGAATACAGTTGTCCTGCAGAGCTGAAGAAGCAAGTGCCCATGTATGATCTAGTACTTTTGAGCAACCAACAATGATTATATTAGGAGTACTAGGTTAGAGCTGGAAAAATCCAGCTGTTTAGCAAAGAGTTAAAGAAAACCCCAATTTTTGATCCCATGTAGTGGTTGCTTGGGTTTGTAGACCAGACTTTGTATCTCTAGACCAGGCGGGTCAAACTCAAGGCCTGCAGGCCAGATCCAGTCCACGGGATGCTTAGATCTAGCCCACGGGGTCACTCTGGAAACAGCAAAGGACTGGCCCATGGTGCCTCTGCCAGTAAAAATGGAGGCAGAGGGTTGCAGGAGGCCATTGCAGCTGAAAACGGAGTTCAGGAGCCTGTTTTCGCTGGCAGAGTGCTCGGGCCACCACAGGTGCCCCCTGACACGAGACGTCGAGCTGGCCACACCCATCCCAGCCCCTCCCAGGGTCAAACACAACCCTGATACGACCCTCAATGAAATCGAGTTTGACACCCCTGCCGTAGACTAAATCAAGAAAGAAGGGCGATTTTCCCTTCTAAAAAATATGAAGGATGAAGTTTCTCTTGTTTTTATTCCTTTTGGTTTTCACCTTTTGTTATAAAAGCAAAACACTTTTAGAAATGCGGGTCTCTCAGCAATGATTAGATGCCCAAGCAATTGGTTCTTTTGGATCCAGAGACAATGAGCAATTTTAAGTTGTATTATTAATTCAAGGAAACAAACTTAAAAGGGTAACATATAAAGCATTGCGTACCAAGTAAAATGATCCCCAACTCTTACAAGCTGTCAGGAGGTCCATAATAGGAACAGCAGAGATACTCCAAGGGCAGCCATAGTACCCAATTTAATTTATTTATTAAATTTATTGGCCACCCATCTCACCATGAGGCATCTCTGAGCAGCTTACATTACAGTATTAACCAATGCTAAGTTCTGTGCAGAAACTCCCAATAAACCACAACCACCCCAAGATTTCTATCGAAACCTGGAACCATGACTTCATGGTCCTGCTTCTATGGTCATGAGATTGCAAGACCTGACATTGACTGAGTGGCATCTGACTCTGAGTGATAACTAAAAGTCTGAGAGTTTCACAGATTTGCAGTGAAGATTCCCTCTCCTTTCTCCTTTATTCAGCAAACAAGAGCAAAAAAACAAAAGCAGGTTAGCTCAGAATAAGCTCTAAACTTCTAGACCTTTGTTGATATGGGGGAAAAAAAAATCAAAATATGTCTTCCTTGGAATAACAATGATTTTCTACATTGCCACTACAGGGTCTTTTTAATTGGGTAGTTTAACTCAGAAATATGGTGCTTTGCTGCCCTTTACAATTTAGTGCAATTTAATTTTGGATTTTAATAAATTTCTCTTTTAGTTTGATAATTTCATTGGGTGTTCATGCTTTCTCCTTTTTTTCAACTTGTCTAGGATGTGTATTTAAGAAAGATGGAACGTACCAAAGATTTTAGCACCCAATTGCTAAGCGAGCTTAGGAATTACTTGGGAATGCAAGTATGTGGGAGTCATCGTGTGTAATGCTTTATTAATAAATCAAGTGTGTAATGCTATGTGAGAATGACCTTGGGAGACAGGGCAACAAGATTCAGCCAAGGGAATGATCAGATAAAAGGCAGTTTGGTTCACAGGAAGAATGTGGACTGGGTAAGAGGTTCAAAGAGAGACTTCCTAGTTTGGGAAGCTGCAAAGAGGAAGGGTGGGAAGAGAAGTATTTTCAGATTTGCAAACTGATATCAGCCTTACAAACAGGAAGTATGACCAGATGAGCTAATTCTACCTTATTAAAAGGTTTCCTTAATAGAATATTGCAAGTCTGAAAGTACTTCTCTCTCCCCACCCCCCACCCCCAGCTTCCCCAAAACTAGGGAGGGTCTCTTCTGCATCTCTTGCCCCACCCACTTTACTGCTACTGGCTAAGGTGCCTTTTATTTGACTGTTCCCTTGGTGGCATGATATTGCCCTGTCTCCCAAGGTCATCCCCACATACCATTATGTAACGGTAGCATTCCCTTCCCCTGCTGTATGTTGCTGTACTTTTACTTCACTCAATAATTGCTTCCAATTCACAGTCTGTTTTTTGTGCTCATTTTCAGGATTGGAAAGACCATCAGCATATGTGTGGGCAGTCACCCGCAGTAACTGTTCAGACAGAAGAAGATCATGATACAGATAATGTGATTGAAAAAGTTATTGTCTAAAACCTTCTTTCTTCCAATTTCATGGATTGTGTGGTGCAGCAAACTGGCTGGACCAGCAATTCTTCTGTGATAAATAAAACAAAACAAAACAAAACATAAATAAAACCCTTCACAGAGAGGGTGAAGGCATAGTATTACTTGCATGTTGCTGGCCAACATATGAATTTTCTCTAACCAAGCAAAAAATTAAACCTTAAGGGGACAAGAGCATCAAGGAACTCCACTGTTTTAAGGGAACTTCAGAAGTTGATGGATCTTTTCAAGCATTTCTACAAAGCTGCTATAAAACAAATGGGTATATTCAATTGCTCTGATGGATTATGGGTATTCTTTGAAGTATTTTGAAAATGTTATTTAAAGCAGCTTCTGGGTCTGCATCCTTTTAAGATTCTTCTGATGAGGCTTCAATAATGATAACAGCAAAAGGTCTTTGTCATTCTTGTTTAAATATGAAACAGTTTTACTTTTCAGTAAATTTAGTTTCCTGGTGTCTATTAAATCTTAATTAAAATACATATGGAATCTTGATTCTATTAATTATTTGTGTGTGTGTGTTATTTAGGAGTTCTCTGTAAAAGTTCTCCAATATGGTAAAAATTCTTTATAAAAGAATATAAAAATTCTTCTTTACTGGAAGTATCATGAAGTATCATTTTGTAGTTATTACACTGATAAATGTGGAACATTTGAATACCTATAGAGAATAATTATTCAATAGTTAGATTCGAAGGTCTTGCAGAAAAATTCAAAGCTAAAATCTCCCTTGTTGAATTCAGCATTTGAAAACTATGTGGACAGATCCATATGGTCTTCTTTGTTAACATACAGAACTGTTTGGACCTTTCCTTTCAGTCTTTTTTGGATCCCTTTCTCTCCTCAGATTTTGTTGTGGTCTCCCAGTGAAGTACCATGACCCTGCTTTGGTTTTCAAGATCAATCCAGATCAAGTAGATGCTGTTACTTGCTGGACCAATTAGGGGTCTCCAACTCCCGGGCCACGACCTATCTCCGGGTCTTGAGCAGTTTGGAACCATGCTGCAGAAGTGGACCAGGAGGCGAGCGCATATGTGCATGCTTCCTTTGCACCAATGGCTGGCACACTTGCCCTCTGCTTGAGCCAATGGAGCTACGCATGCATGCACTTGCCTGCCACTCGTGCGGAACCATCCCCTCCCCCCTGCCCAACGGTCCACAAAGCCGAAAAGGTTGGGGAACTCTGTATTAAATAATTAAACTAATGGTCCATGCTTCTGAACCCTGTAGACTTCAAACTACAATCCTGTTATTCTGCTAGACTTTCTCAACAATCTACCACGATACAGAGTAGCATAAATAGCATTACTGAATTGCCTGCTATACCAGTGAAATGGTAGAATTTGTCCTATTGGGGACTGGAACAGCAACGATTGTATTTATTTGTCAGTCACAGGATGTGAGGATGTCATTACATCACAGCTGATTGCAAGAATACATGGGTAAATTACCCTGTGGTATATTGTAAATCAGAAGCAGTATAGAAAAAGGATTGAAGCTTTTGAACAGTATTATTGTATGCAGAAGACTTGAAAACTGGATATGCAAGAATAAGCGGATCATAGAACAAATTAATCCAGAGTTCTCACTCAAGGCACATATGATCAGGCTCAAATTATCATATGTGAAACATGAAGAACCAGCTCTCTTGAAAAGTCCTTACTGTTGGGATAGGTGGAAAGAAAAAGAAGATGAGGATGACCAATAAAATGAATGTATTTGATTACAATGGTGATGAGGCACAATTGGCAGATCTGAAGAGCCAGGTTGGGAATAATCATCCTGGAGAAAGTCAGTCTATGTGGTTGTTAAGAGCTGACATTAACTTGATGATGCTTAAGCAATTTAAAACATCAGATATGGTAAATTGATGGAATCAAAACAGTAATTTCCATCCAACATCATACAAATCTTTTCTTTTTTCTTTTCACCTTGTCTCAAGTCTTGTTCCAGGGAGTCCATCAATTCTCTAGAATTTATTTGTGAGTCAAAGGGGAAATAGGTCCTTTTCTGTTGTTGGAAGAACGGTATGGCTGTTTTCTTATAATTTTGATTTTCATACTTCTGAGTATATAGTTGAAAAAAATATCTCAGCCATCTTTCTGGAACCCAGTGATCAAATAATTAAACATTTGCACCACATTTACAGCTTGCTGTTTGTACTGCCAAAAATAAAAGCAAAGGTGCAACTGTGTATTTCCTCAGCATCTCACTTGAGGAGAGAGAATCTTGCATCCTAGCAAGAAGACTAAGTTTGAAAATAGCACTTTTTGAGTGTTAAAATCACAACAGATATTTAAAAAGGGTTTAAGCCAAGAAGAAGAAAAAACTTTATAGAGACATTGCTTCCGTTTTGTGGAAGATATTCCTGGCCAGTCACCGAAATGTGTTTATAAATCGATCGTGTGTATATTTTCAGTTGTACCTAAATCTGCATTTGGTAAGACATTGTAAAGGGAAGGTGAATGGCATTTGAAGGAAGGACTTTATATTTGTTTGCCCTCATCAATCAAGAGCACCAAAAAAGCCACTGTAGGTACAGCAGCAGAACTGCACCCCATCATACTGCTCATCTGATCCCTATCTGACTAGAGCAGGGGTGGGCAATTAATTTCTGTCGGGGGCCACATGGAAAATCAGATCTGCGTTCGAGGGCCGAACCAATTTTATAAAAGGCCATTATAAAGGGCCCATTATAAAATGCAGCAAATTATATATAAGAATATTATATTATATATGAGAAAAAGTAACACCGCGGCTGCTCCTGCTACTACTTTCCACGCTTTCCAAACGCGAGTCCCAGGAGAGAACAAACAGCAAACCGCGCTCAGGGGCATCCAAGCCCACCTAAAGCTTGGCCGCTGCTGGTGGAGCCTTGCCCTGCCTTGGTGCCCCATTTCCCAGCTCGGCGGTCCTGCTCGGGCAGCACTTTAAAAGCCCTCCTCCTCACGTACGCGCCCGACGAGCCGCTCACCACAACGGCGGTTCCCAGCACCCGAGCAACTTCCCAGCAACTTGCGGCTTGCTTTTTCCTCTCGGGCGCTCGCGCCTGGCCCCGAGCCGCGCGGCGGAGGGGAAACCCGGAGCGCCGCCAGGTCGCCTCTTCCAAGCAGCCCGCCCGCTGGGCGGAATCCTTCCCGCTCATCCCTCGGGTGTCTGCCTCGTTCCTCTCTCAGTCGCTCTCTCGCTCCTCCACCAGCCCAGGAAGAAACTGCTTCAAAGAAGCCGGCAGGGTGGCTTCCTGTCGGCGCAGCTCCTCCGAAGCGCCCATTCACCCCCACACAGTCGCCCATGGTTCAATCCAGTGCTCCGTTCTGCCTGCCTGCCTTTGTTTCTGGTTGTTTCGGAGCAGCTTCGGCTGAGAAAGAGGTGAATAGTTATTATTCTCAGCCAAAGCTGCTCCGAAACAACCAGAAACAAAGGCAGGCAGGCAGGCAGGCAGAACGGAGCACTGGATTAAACCACGGGCGGCTGGGTGGGGGTGAACGGGCGCTTCGGAGGAGCTGCGCCGACAGGAAGCCACCCTGCCGGCTTCTTTGAAGCAGTTTCTTCCTGGGCTGGTGGAGGAGCGAGAGAGCGACTGAGAGAGGAACGAGGCGGGAGGAAACCAAAGCCGCTGAACCAGAGAGCAGGACAGGCTTTGGTTGCTTCCTCCCTCCCCTTCCCTCCTTTGTGTTCTTGATCCCTGATCCCAGCAGCATTCACCAAAGGCGAAGAAAGCCGCCATTTTTATTTTATTTTTTATTTTTATTTCTTTGTGGCCTGGTACAAAGTGATCCACGGACCGGGACCGGTCCGCGGCCCGGTGGTTGGGGACCCCTGCTCTATGCACTCGAAGGTGATTTCGAACTGGAAGGGGTTGTAGAAAGGCGAAGGGTTGTCCAGCACCACGACATTGTTCACCTGAACCTTTGCCATATTGGGCGGGAGGGGAGGGGAGGGGTGGGGGAAGGAAGCGCGGGGAGAGGACCCGCAAATAATAGTCGGAGCGTGTTCCTCCTGGCGCCCGGGAAAGTGCCTCGCGCGGGAGACGCACGCCGGCCAGGGATGGAGAGGCGAGTTAGGAAACTTCGCCGCTGGCTCTCCCGTCTGCTGCTCCCGCCGCCTTCGGCGGAGGCGTCGGCCGGGCGGGCGCTGGCGTTGTGTGCCTCTCTTCTTTTCTTTCCTACCCCGAGAGCGCTCCGCGCTGTTTTGCAGCTTTGGGGGCCATGCGGTGCAGGGCAATACGCCACGCCCAGCGATTTTTTTCAGAGGCGGGCTGGATTAGACAGACCAATGGGCCGGATGTGGCCCACGGGCCGTAGTTTGCCCACCCCTGGACTAGAGCAAGGGTCTTCAAACTTGGCAAGTTTAAGAACCGCAGAATTCCTGAGCTCACATGACTAGAGGAGGAATTCTGGGAGTTGAAGTCCACAAGTTTGAAGACCCCTGGACTAGAGGGCGACCAACCCCATATGTTGACATCCCAATAGGTCCTCAGAAGTATCTGGTATAGTCATCCCATGTTGGGAAGATAAGAGACCTGAATTTGTATTTTATTTTCTTTCCTTAAGCATAGTTATAAGATCTCTTACACACTGTAGCTTCTTCCATTTCTTTAGTATTTAATTGCAGGGCCACCAAGGTGAGTTCAGCTACTTCCTAATGCTTTGATTTGCTAGCTATATTGAACAATGGAGATAGTACACCTCAATTTGGCTAAACCGCAGTCCGGTCAACCTCTCGTAAGAGGTTCATGTTCTATTGCTTTCAAAATGAAGAGAAACAGAAAGGAATACTATTAACATCTAAGCAGGAGACCAATCTGCTCTCTCTCAAATCATTCCTGTATGAAAGGTACCCTGCATACCTTCTCAAACCTAAGATCCTACTCAAATGGGCACCACATTAATTACTTTAAGTATATTCATTTTCTGTTTTGTGTGGGACTGTTGCCTTTATTCTTTGGGGGTTTTTTTGTCCTTAATTCCCAGATACTTTTTTTATATGTAGATATTTAGATTAAATTTTCATAAGAGGGATTTCTTATTAAAATATGCACAATTGCCTAAATATGTTGTGTTTTCAGAATTTTCATAAAGTTAAAACTTGTTCTGTGGGAGTTTGGGCATACAAACAAAAATCCAAAGGATTTTTAAAAACTTTCCTGAAGAGAGGTGCCCTCAGTAGAATAGCAAATATCTGTCCAATGAACCAATAATTTGGTGTATCAAGAAATTCAATTTTTAAGTATTAATATCATAACTTTTTCTGGGGAATTTTCAAAGGGGGGCAATTAAATTCCTCTCCCAAATCAATACAATATGACTACGGTATTAATTCTTGTGTATGCTCAGGACTAGAGGATGAGCAAACATAGATATATATATTTGCCATGCTGTAGTCAGA